TCAGCAGGCTTATTTGTAGTCTGCAGGTCTGCAAATATGCCTTTGGGCCGGAGGGCTCCATACAGATGGGGCTACGGGACAGTAATGGGGTGAACCAGAGAAGGTGGATCAGGGAGCAGGTCATGGCTCTTCCCAAAACTTTTATTTAAGAATACTATGGGCATAACTAGTGGCTTCTAGAAGGGTATCACCTGGCAGTTAAGTTCTTTCTTATCTCTATAAGCAATTCTTTTGCTTAATACCTTTTTCAGTTTTCTCCGAATCCCCACTCAGTCCGCCTGTAAAGCCAGAAAGAGAATGATTACTTAATTATTCACTCTGCTTTGTACAGATTTGTGCATCCCAATTTATAATGCTGTATCCAAGGAAAACTTTTATTGACTATATCACAATGGTTTGAGGGCTTTGTAATAGGTTGTTCTTTTGATAGGAAGTGAGCAAATAAAAAGCTTGAGAGAATGAGTGCAAAGAGCTCTCTGAAGTAACAGAAAGAAATTAAAATCCAAGAGATTGATTGTGATTTAATGTGTATTAGTGAAACTTAAGTGTGATTGCATTAAGATCAATAAGGATATATCTGGTATAAAACAATTAAGACAGAAATCAGGTTTTAATTGTCTGAGACTGATTTACGCTGATAAAACTTTGCCTTGCTGTCAGTGTTTTTGTGGAACTACTATTTGTCTATTTTTAAATGCCTTTTGTCAGGAACTTTAAAAGTTCCTCAAGTTCCCCAAGTAGTTTTTTGTGTATGGAAAATGGTACAAAATCTGTTTAGCACACTTCTCTAAATCTATAATTGACTTTGTAACTGAGTCCCTATCAGAAACAGATGAAATGCCAATTTTACTTTTAATGCATTAGAAGTATGTCATCTCAATTCTTTAGTATATCCTTCAGAAAAAGTCTGAATATTCCATCTAAAATTCAGATCTGCTAAACACTGCTTCTCTTATTTAATGGTAAGCAAAGACAAGAGGCGGCTACACTCTCAGCAGAGGCAAGCAGGCTGGGAAAGGAGATAAAAGCACCTACAATTTTTAAACAAATGTGTCTGGTTTATTGAGGGATATGAAACTGTTGTAGAACATGGAAGCTTCAAAAAGAAGCTAGCCAAAGAAAGAAGTGTTTGCTTATGGCTGTTGTCTAGAGGTAACTGGCTTAGGGGAGTAGTAGTAAATAATATACTCTAATATAATATATCCTGGTGTAGCAGAAGATGTCCCTGCCCATGGCAGGGGGTGTTGGAACTAAGTGATCTATAAGGTCCCTTCCAACCCAAACTGTTCTATGATTCTATATGTACTACAGGACTTTGTAGAAATACAAATGCCACGAGATTTGATTTGACTATCTGCTTCAAAACAAAGCCTATATGCTAAAAACAAACTGACTTGAAATGTGATTGACAGATTGCCATTCATGTGAATTAAGTTTGTCACCAATGTAATCTGATGGGTGAATCTGACATACTTGTGAGCCTCACAGACTTCCAATGTTTGTGATCTGATTTTTGAGTTTGTACTTGAGGTAAAGTGCACTCTGAGAATCTGTTGGCAACAACTACTACTGTTCACATAAGTTATTTAAATACTGTTCTAAATTTGCATTTTGTTATCAAAAAGTTGGTTTGGAAACAGAACTACCTCTTTTCTCACAACTGCTCATCTAACCATTTTAAAGTGAGATTCATTAAACTTATAACCACTCATTGATACCGTTACAGAACTGGAATGTCAGAGCAGAAGCTATGATGTTTGTTCTCTAATGGTCTGCACACTAGTGAACAGCTAAGAAAAATCCTGGTCCAAAGGAGGCCGTATAGAGCATATGCCCATGTGTTCTCCTGTATGCCACTGGCATAGGTACTTAGCAAGCTGTCTGGAAGACAGCTAAGCAGGCATAAGATAAATGGGTCAGAATTCCCTTTATCAGCCTTTTGCTCCAATCTGCTGCTCATTGACAACTGTATGGGCATGGGTACCATTTGTTTTGGATGTGCACGACAGTAATTTGTGTGTCTCTGAGGAAGCTAAGGCAGACAACTCAGTAAAAATTGAGGGCAGCAAAAATTGAGGGCAGCCAGGTTGTAACAGTTATGTTTTCTGCATTTGAGGATCTTTGCGTTGGTAAAAAAAAAAAAAATTCTGGAGAGGTGTTTGATTTTCATACTAATCATCTGAAAAGAAAGTGAAGGCTTCAGAGTTACAGCCTGCCTTGGGGTAGAACTGGCAGTGCACCGGTGAACAAAATGTTATAGCTACTCATTCCTCTTGTCAGTGCACCTCTGTTATGAAGTTAGGATGTGGAGTGATTATTAAGGAGCAATTTTAGAAGTCTTGACTTTTCCATTTCAACAATCAACAGTGCTACCTTTGAGAGCACCTTAAACTTGATATTTGAATTTTCCAGGTATGGTTTAGTAGATGGCAGTAGAACTTTGATATAATAAAGTAGAAATGAAAGATTCTTTTACCATCAGCATTTTCTGTGTTAGCTTCGTAACCAGTAGCATTATCACTGTCTTCAGTTGGGGCAAATGCACTTTCTGCACTTTCTGTGGTCATCAGTTGTCCAAACTGCAAGAGATTTGTTACACTGTGTAGTCTTGTGGGCAACTACAAGAATTGGGGGGAGGAAAAGAGGAAAGAGAAAACCTCAGTACATTCAGTCTACGTGTATGAAATAAGCATTTAAATATCTTGGTCTGTCAGGTTCCCTGTGGATGCTTTTTTAGCTATCACCTGGCATCTTTGACTTGTGTACTGTGACAAAAAAACCCAAAGACAATTTGTCTTTCCAGCTAGAGACTTTCTGGATTGGATGACTTCTCAGTAGGACTACAGAAGGTGTAGGAGAGGACTGCAGAATATTGCAGACCTGCCTTTTTTCGTGATTTTTTTTTTTTTTTTTTACCTAATTTGTCAGTTTGGTTTCACTTGAAGCAAATGGAGAGATACTGAATTAGAAGAGGCAAGCGGCAGTGAATAAGCAGGTTATGAATGCTTTTTGCCAAAAACATTTTTCAACTTTGTCATCTTCAACCTGATTGCTGGCAAAGCAAAAGCATTGTGTTAGGTCTTTTTTATGTTAGAACTCAAGATTATTCTTGATAATTTATAATGATTATTTGAAATCTAAGCCACAAGACAGAACGAGGAATATGAAATCAGGGTAACCTAAAGGAACTTTTATTTAGAATGATACTCACCAGGGTTGGTAATCCTTCAGATTCTGTGTCATTTCTGTCTCTGAAATCAATTGTTGTACTTTCTTCTCCTTCTAGAACTGAGCTTGCTGAAAAAAATTTTAGAAAATGAATTAGGATTTTACTTGATAGTCACATTTTCTGGCTACCTTAACATCTAAATTTTGTTAAATGTGAGACCTATGTAGTGTTAAATCTCCCTGCCCCCGTGCACTTGGGTTTGCAAAATTCCCTGAATTAATTTTGAGTTCTGCTATACTCATGTACAAAGCTGTAGAACAAAGAGCTTAAGTACACATCACTTTTAACCCTGGCACAACCTTGAAACGTGCTGGTTATTAAACACTTTGTCCACTAAGATTTCAAGTTAAGCATTATCTTATGTATTTGGATAAATTACTTGAAACATCTTCCATTTTCTAAAATAAGAGCTTTCTCCCTACCTTTCAGCTCAGTCCCAGCTGCAACCTTTATTTTTAGAACTATCATTAATGTATATGGGTGTAACTAAAGTTTAGAAAATATTCCTACACAAATCTACTCAGAAATTTTTTTTAAAGTTGCAAATCTCACTTGCCATAATTTGAATTTCTTAAGTAACAGTGCAAGGTCTCCCTTTTTACTGTAGACCAATACGTCATCTGTGCTTTTTGGAGTAATGGAAATTTAAGTTTCTGGCTCACACAATGCTTTTTCTTTACAAATACAGTCAAACTTTATCACTAGGAAAAATGAGATGTAACAAGGCAGAACACAAAAGATATGGATATGTGAAGATAACTAGTGGTATTAAGAAAATGTTGAAAACAGGTGTCATTTGATGAAGTTTCATGCTGATTCATAAAACTCTGACCATACACAGTATGATGTTAATGTGGTGTGGTATCTCTTGTGAGTTTTTAATTCACCACGATTACAAAGCTAGGTGAGGCTGCTTGTTATGCTGTTGCCTGAAGCATAAGAGTTCTGCTAATTCCAGATACCAGTGTTTAAAGCAAGGAGCTAATAATAGGTATTATCCTGAGCAAAAACTTCAGGTAAAAAATCCTAAAACTTCTGGAAAATTCTTTTCCTGGATTCAAGCTTTGCATCTAACTTCTGTTGATTTCAGCAATCAGAGCAAAAGTTTGTCCAAAGATTTTTCAAATCCAGTTTATACTTTTTCAGCATAATCCTGAGCTATTGCTAGGATATACTGCAGTGGTAGCTGAAGGCTATGTGAACGAGAGCCACGTTCATTCTTGGAGGATTTTTAGGAGGTTGGAGAAAACCCTGGATGCTCGTATGTCATTTGCCTAGGATGAACTGTCAGCTGCTAATAGGCTAATTATGAACAAAATACCTAATCCTTTTTTCCTTTGCAAGATAGTTTGATACTTCTGTAATTTGGTGGTAGATTAGTAGTGCTGTGTAGTGATCTCTTCAGGGAGGAGGACAGCTATTCACATGAGTTATTTAAAAACAGGGATTTACTGTACCACTTGAATATTTTATGTAAGAGAAATATTCATGACCTGTTTGTTTTGTTAAACCTTAACACTGTTTCTACTAATTTCACCTGGTTTTAGTGACCTAAAAACATTCTCATCTCCTCTGCATTTGAAGTTAAACTATTTCTGAATTGCTAGACTAGTTCTGAAGAGCTGATTTCTTACGTAAGGCTTTTTAATACTCAAAAATGCACTCTACTTGCATTCTATATGATATAGAGGCAAGTAAAGAGAATTTTTGTTCTGTGACTGAAATTAGAAAGAATGGATGTTTTGCTCAATACCAGTCAAAATTGAAAAAAAAGGATAAAATCACTTTGGATCAGCTGCACATGTATCACTTTGAAATTATTTTTCTTTAAGCATGACTTCCATTTAACTTTTGTTCAGTTTTTTAATGGCCCATTTAAAAATAAAAATGGTATTTCAAATGAGAAAGTCAATGCTCAATTTTGAAATTGGTAAAAAAGAGCACTGGCACTTTAAAGGAAATTTTTCATACAGAGGATGAATGATTTGACATTGAGGAAAAAAAAATCCTCTGTTTTTGCTTGAAACTCTCATCTGAATTTGACTGGAAACTTGAAAACATTTTTTCCTTGCTCCCAAATCTCATTTTTGAATCAAACTAAAAATATTTTATCATCTCTACCACTGTAAGACCGTGAGCTTTGTCCCATTGCCAAGAGACTAAACACTGATCTAAACTTAGATTTCTAATTCCATGTTTGCTCCAGTAAATAGAATTTTATATTTTTATACCTTTATAAGCCTGAGTACAGATACACTTTCTGTTGAAGAGCCAAAAGGGTGTACAAGTAGTACTTCAGGTACTAACAGATGAAGAAGGTATATTCATGTTATGCCAACATGAGGCCTAATATAGTGGCTAATTAGGCCTGCCAGTCTCCCCAAAATCACCTTATGATCCATAGAAAGACTACAACAGGCTAGGGTAAATCCTATTTATGTTAGATGGTAAAAATAATGTTTTGGTCATTTTTGATGGAAATACCCAGGTGAGCAGCCTTGAAAATTTTCTGTTGAGATAGCATAAAAGGGGGCTTGAGTTTTAGGTCTGTTGACGTAGCCACCTGCTGAATATCAGGGCATTGTAAGATACAGTGTTACTTTATTATACTTATTTTTTGCTTATAAAATAATATCTTTAAAGTACCATATTGGGATTATGTTATGTAAATATTAAGTGTAAAAGAAATAGCAATAGAGCTCAGCAACATGAATTGTCTGTGGATCAGTTGACCTTGTAATCCCAGTCAGAACTGAAAAAGCATCCTTTATTCACTGGTTGCAAAATAAGCACAGATGGAGAAAACCAATTACCAGAGAAAAACCCTGAGTAGAAAGTGAAGTAAGTTTTGTGTGTTAACAACAAGCAGCTTATTCAGAGAAGCTGCTTATACTTGGCATGGCAGTAGCTGTCAGCCCTCAAGAGTTACCTGATAGTGAAGGCAGGGAAGGAAACAGTGTCACAGAACAAAGGTGTAGAGAATTAGTGAATGTCACAGAGAAACATGAAATAATTATTCTTTGTGTGATAAAGTTATTGCAGATTCTTGGCAAGAAGTAACATGTAGAAAATCTATTTCAGTGCTTTTGCTCTTGGTGTACATTGATTGACAAAAGGAGGTGGCCCAGATTAATATTACCTAATTTTAGGTTCTTAATAAAGGTGCCTAAATAAGGTATCTGCCTGCCTTTATTTCTTAAAATCTGTAGGGAAATTCATTTCACCTGAGATTTGGGTCATCCTTGGAAGTGCTGCCTTTCCTCAACTACATTATGGCTCTCCTATTAATTTCTTAAAGCTTACAGATCAAACTGATTTCTGTCAATGTGGAGGTCTTGTCCCAGCCATATCCAGCCTGCATAACACTGCATTCAAGCTGAGGTCCTGTATTTGCTGGAGAATAGTCCCTGGACTATATTTCCAGGTTTGTTTTTCTGGAGCGACAGTGGAGGTGGTCTGGGTGGCAGTTAAGCAGACGCTACTGAACTATTTCCAAGAGAAAGACTGGGAGGTATCTTACTATCAGTGTGCTGCATTTGTAGGAAGGAATATTTGATACTAGACAACTCTTTGTCAGAGAAAGTCATAATAAAGTAACAAAATTAAATTAAATTGAGGGAAACTATTGGACTTCTTTCCCAGTGCAAGGTGTGTTTAGCACTGACATCAAAGAACGTAAATGGGATGTAAGGGTGTATGTGCTTTAGTCATTTGGTCGTTCCATTTGATGTGGGCCAAATGCAGCAAGAGCCACAGGGTTAAGCAGTGCTTCTGCATATGTTCTTAATATTATCTTCGAGGAGGCTGTAAATAAAAACAGTGCCTCACAGTGCTATGATTGTCTCCAACTAGCACTATGGCCTCTTCTGTTTGCAGCTATATGTTGCTGCAGATGTGAATTAATCATTGCATCTCTTTCTGCCAAAGTTCCAGCTGGGTGCGTTTTAGTTCAAAGTCCCCAGCTGCTATCAGGCTGCAGCTTCTCACACCAGGAGAAAATCTGATGTCTTTAAAAGTTTAAAACTGCTTTGAAAACATCCCGTGGTTAAGCATCCCATGACCCACTTAGGGAAACATGAGCTCACTACTCATTGTTATGCATGGAGTGACAGTTTACTAGAAAAACCTCTTAGGGTTGCTTTCAAAGCACAGTGGTTGTGTTGGAAAGGAGAATGAGTTGTAAAACTGTTGTTCGTTAGCATTGCTTTCAGGTATCTCCAAAACCAACAAAGATACTTCTGAAGATGAAAAATGTTGTAGGATATTGTTTCTTTCCCGGCAGTCTGAATAAACCCAGACACTAGTGGGCAAAGGCAGTTGTAAGCCTGTATTTTAGCTTAGTCCTTGAAATAGGAAGCCCTCAAAATAGAATGAGTTTCCATCTCTGCAATAAGAGACCAGTAGGTAAAAATTGCTAATGCTAAAGGATCTCCTCTAACAAGAACTGGAATAGTCTTTATTGCTCATTGCCCCTCTGCCCCTATTAAAAAAAAAAAAAAAGTGGCTTCAGTTATTTATAACAGCTAAAGAAAATTAACTGGCAGGTTAACTGTCAAACAAAAGCATTGCTCTTAAAATTTAAGTTTATTTTTATCTATATTTTATCTGTATAATATTTTATCCTTTCCAGCTGTGATAGATAGGTGCTTTGTGGAATGCTTCTCTAGAAAATCAAGGGATAGAATTCAGTTTGACTGGTCACTTGGGAGATACCACTCTTCTGTTTGAGCTATTGCTGACCTACCTGTCCAGAGCTGACTTACATTTTTCAGTGTCAGCTTCCTGAACTGTTACAGACCAGGTGGTGTTATTTGAAGGACTGTGTGTGTGTGTTAGCCATCCTGTTTTGGCCGTATTTTACTCAGCATTTATGTCCTGATACAGGAATTCCCTTTGAGGAAGCATTCTTCATTCTCAGACCTTAATTTGACTATGAGCAAAATGAGTCTTAAAAATCATTTTCTCATTATTGGAATCTCATGCAGTTGTAGTTCAGTGGACTCCTTTATTCATGGTGGTGGAAGTTTAACAATGTGTGATTTGATAAGGTATCTGCGTTTTGAATACA